CCTACTAAGACCTCTTTACAATTATGGCAAAGCAATAAAAAAGTCAGTCTATAATAAAAGGAAAGCAGGGAGGTGTGCATTTTTGGAAAGGGAGGGGACAGAGGGGCTTGGGGGTGGGTCAGGCAGATATCAGTATATGAGAGAGATTTCAAAAAGATTTCTCACAGACAGATAATTGAAACTTCAAGTAAGCATAGCAGTAGAGTCAATAAAAAAAAGTATGCTGTTTTCCTGATGAGATCTGGAGCAACTCCAGGCTTAGAGGTGGCAGATATTAAAGGCGAGAATGAGAAAAAAGTTATAAAGAGACAAGTTAACTAAAATGCTGTCTATATATAAATTTCTGAGCCATTTGCTCCTTCCTCCATTTTTCAGTTACCCTATCCGACATGCAAAGTTACAGGAAATTGCATTTAATTAATCCCAGGCTAAAATAAAGAACACCCTTCTCTAAACTTGCTGCTAGTGTAGATTTTAGACCTCAACAGTCAGCTCTTCATGTTGACTTCTGAAAGGAGGGCTACCAGACAAACCACCCGCTCTCTACCATCTTAGCCTAAAGTAAAGAAAGGCCACAGAGAACTCTCATATACCCAGAAGAGTTAACTTTTCAACCCTGGGGAGAGGATTACATATAAAATTGATGGCAGCTTCCTAGAAAACTTAACCTTTTTTTTTTTTTTTTTTTTTTTTAGTACCAGGGATTGAACCCAGGAGTGCTTAAGCACTGAGTCCCATCTCCAGCTCCCTTTTTATATTTTATTTAGAGACAGGGTCTTGTTGAATTTCTTAGGGCCTCACTAAGTTTCTGAGGCTGGCTTTGAACTTGAGATCCTCCCGCCTCAGCCTCCTGAGCTGCTGGGATTACAGGCATGCACCACCACGCCCGGCTGCATTCTTAAATATGAACAAATGAACAGTGTTTTAGTCTACCTGAGCTGATATAATAAAATGCCTTAAATGGGGTAATTTCTAAATAATAGAAATTTTGATTCTCAATATTGGAGGCTGGCAAGTCTAAGATCAAGTTGCTAGGAGATCTGGTGTCTGATACAGCCTTGCTTTCTGATCCATCCACAGATTTTTGCTTCCTTGCTATGTCCTCATGGGATGGGAAGAACAAACAGCTCCCTCACTCCTCTTTAATTCCCTAATCCCATTTATGATGACTCCTAAAAATCCTATTCTTAATATCATCTCATTGCAAGTTTCAACACATGAATTTTGAGAGGATACATTCAGACTATAACAAACAAATCTGACAAAAATCAGCAACTTCAAAGATACATATGATAAATGAAAACCCTGAAACTGGAGGAAATAGGTAGTTTAAAAAAAAACAGATAAGAATTTAAGAAAATAAACTTCAATATATTTAACATTTTTTTAAAGAGAGTGAGAGAGAGAGAAAGAGAGATAATTTTTTAATATTTATTTTTTAGTTTTCGGCGGACACAACATCTTTGTTTGTATGTGGTGCTGAGAATCGAACCCGGGGCCGCATGCATGCCAGGTGAGTACGCTACCGCTTGAGCCACATCCCCAGCCATATTTAACATTTTTTTGAGAACAAATGTGACAAGAATCTATAGGGGAAAATAATCACCAAGAATATGAAAGAAACATTGGAAATTTAAAATATGATTGCTGAAAAAATAAATAAAATAAAAAATTAAAATATGATTGCTGAACAAAAATTCAATAAGAAGATATGAAGAAATAACTGAGGAAAATTCTCATATTAAAGGAAAAATTTTCAAAGAGACAAAAAAATAGAACTAGGAGTTGCGATGCACACCTGTAATCTCAGTGACCCAGCAGGCTGAGGCAGGAGGATTGCCAATTGTGAGCCAAGCCTCAGGCAATTTTGTGAGATCCTATCTCAAAATAAAAAATAAAAAGGAATGGGGATGTGTCTCAGTGGCAAAGCACCTCTGAAGTTAATTCCCAGTACTTTATGGGAAAAAAAAAAGAAAAAAAACCCAATAAAACAATACAGAGTTATCAGTGCAAGAAGACTAATATCAGATTATCAGAGGACAGAGAAAATAGTGGAGTGGAAACTGAAATAATAGAAAGAAATGGGGAGGGCACTTAGTAAAGACATTTGGCTTTAAGGCAGAGTCTACTGAACATTTAACAGAATAAAATGAAATAAAATTTCCATACCTAGGCACATCCTGAAGACATTTCAGAGCAATGTTATTAACGAAAAGGTCCTACAGTTTGTTTTTTTTAAAATTGATACAAAGATTGAGAACTTCTAATAATATTAAATTATACAGCACAGTGGAATGTTGTCTTTGAAATGTTGCAAAAAATGATTTTGAATCTCTAATTCTACTCAGCCAAATTACGAATCAAGTATGTGTGAAAAATAAAGACGTTCAGCTATTCATGTGCCATTTCTAGGGAAGATTATTGACAGTGTATTCTAGAAAAATAAAAGCAAAACCCAACATGAAATAAAAAGACATAGGATTCTAGAATCTGGGAACTACACCAGGATTGGAATGAGCCTGGTGACAGTGACAGAGGAGGCTTAAGAGAAATGGGCCAGGTTTAGAATGAGAAGTCACCAGTCACCAAGAACAGTTCCTCCAAGAAGACTGGAGTGGGTGCCACTCAGTGGAGAGGATGAGTAAGACACTTGATCATATCCACACACGATGATAAGAAAGTGGCAGGCTTCTTTTCTGGAAGCCGAGTTTCTTAGTGGTCAAGAGCAGGAATTGGACTGCTGGGTTCTCTTGATTCTGTTCGCTATGTTGTTTATCTTCTTTGTACCTCTGCTCATTTATAAGTAGGGATAATAGTACTTGATTTGGTTGTTGAGGGTGTGAATTTTATTTTAATATAATTGACACACACCTAAGTACCATTGGTATTTTCCATTGGTATCACCATTCTCCACAAGAAAAAGAGAAGTGAGCAGAAATTCCAGCAGTAGAAAACACAAAGGTGAACAACACAGGTGTGGTCCAAATACGAGGGAAACTAAAACACGGCAACTTTTTGAGTAACGAATGGAGACTAAGAGAGCCTCTTGTTTTTGTCTTGTACCCACTGAAAAGAAAGGTTATCCTAACACAGCCTTACTTGGTTCTAAGATGAATGATTATTTAAAATGTCATAATAATAGACATGCTGTTGACAGCATTTTGGCTTTTAGAATTAACCTACTTATTGCAAAGTGAAATGTAATCCTTGACCTAAAAAAAGCAAAAATATTACTTAATATTCTTGATCTGAGGAACGGGGTGTGGAGGAGAGTGGGAGGAAAGGATAGGACTGCTACAATCTTCATCTTATATGGGGGGAATCAGGTGCTAGTGATTATAGAGGATAAAAAAGAAAAAAAAAACAGATACATATTTCAATTTAGAAAAGTTAACAATAGAACCAGCAAAAAAGGTAACTACCAAATATGCAGAAGAGGCACAAGAGGTGAAATAGGAAGTAGTGTAAATAAGTTAATTCATAATCTTTTTATTGATTATTCAGTAGCTATGTTTAAAGGTGATAATTTTTTAAAAAAGCAGTAGAGGGGCTGGGGATGTGGCTCAAGCGGTAGCGCGCTCGCCTGGCATGAGTGCGGCCCGGGTTCGATCCTCAGCACCACATACAAAACAAAGATGTTGTGTCTGCCAAAAACTAAAAAATAAATATTAAAAAAATTCTCTCTCTCCCCCTCTCTCTCTCTCACTCTATCTTAAAAAAAAATAAAAAACAAAAAAATTAAAAAAGCAGTGAAACTTATTTTTTATAAATGTGGAACTAATCATAAGAAATAAAGCCCATAAAGATTAAACATGTCTGCCTCTGACAGAGGAAATGAGAGAGAAGCAAGGATGGAGAGGCTGTGTGGCCTTCTTAGCCTTTCTGTACAATTTAATTTTTAACATTGTATGGACTTTTTATTTCTTAATGAATATGTTACATGTTCTGTATAAGATGCTAGCAAATTTAATACAATGAGCACACTGATTTGTGATGTGATCATATAAATTTTAATTAATCATGAACCTAAATAACCTAAGTAGATGAGGATAAAACTGATCATTTGGATGGTGGACACTGCTAGTGTTTTTTAAAATTATAAAATATAGGAGTATGTGACAAAATATAATGGTTGTTAATTATGGTTACTGGGTATGTCTATCTTCATATTTCTTTCTCCATACAGCAATCATCAGAGTTAATAATAAATAAATAAATAAATAAATAAATACCTAAAACACTCTTTTAAGTGATTTTTCCCTTATTGATTCTCTGGATTAATTTCTCTCTCTAGTCCCCTAGATACAACCTGGTGAATAATGCCCCAGGGCACGCTCAACACCTAAGGCTAGCTAGTTACTTTTCAGTGTGGCCATGAAAACGTCACTCAATGATCATCAAGAATTAATATTCTAGTTACCTGGGAGGCTGAAGCAGCAGTATGACAAGTTTGAGGCCAGCCTCAGCAACAAAGAGAGACCATAAGAAACTTAGTGTGTCCCTGTCTCAAAATAAAAAAACTGAATAAATAAATAGAAAAACTGGGGATGTAGCTGAGTGGTATAGCTGGGTTCAATCCCCAGTGCCAAACACAAACAAAACCTCAAACTAACAAAAAATGAGTCAATAGTGTTGATTCTAAACCTATTTATGGTAATGGTTATTATAATTATATAATTTTATTTAAGTTGAGAGTGCTCAAAAACATCATCTTGGCTACACATTAAAAGATTAACAAACAGATATAAAATTTTCATATTACAAATTTAAATAAAATGTTTAAGTTATGCATGTATATGTTTTAAGAAATTATATATTTTCTTTTCTGTTGTTCCCACACATAAAGTTTTATATAATATCAGAGATAAAATCACTTTATATCCTTATGCTTTTGAATTCTAAAATTCATTTGATTCCAGAATCTGTAGAAGCATTTATATGATAATTAGGGCTAGTTCAAATTTCTATTACGTAGCAGTAAGTATACAAATTATACCTACCTCCGTTGTATTCTTAAGATAATGAAGGAATTTAACAGATCTTGGTTTTAGATTTTCTTGTACTGGTTCTAAAGAAATCCAAACACAAATGACATTTTCATGCTTATCTTCTTGGAAAAAGTGAATTTTTAAATAAAATAGAATTATATGTGCTATTCAAAAGAATCCTTTGGTTAATCCTTTTGAAAAGAAAAGTATTCCCCCTCAATCTACACTTTTCTGCTCCCAATTATGAGTTTTATTAATCTAGTTTCTTGTTATTTTTGTCGCAGTACTGGGGATTGTACCTAAGACCTCACACATGTTAGATAAGTGTGCCACCACTAAGCTATATCACCAGTCCTGGATTTTCTTAAAGTAAGCATAGTGTAAAAGTGAAGCATACAGACTTTGAATTTAGCCTCACTACATCCAAATCACACCAATTTTGTGAGTTCTACCACCTTAGAAAAGTTACTTAACCTCTCTGAGTGTTACTTTCCTCAGCTGTTCAATGATGGTCCGAGAATTCGATGAGATGATAGATATAACAATATGGAGTCTGATATCCATTAAATTAAGAGCTATTTATTGATCAGCTGCCCTATGCCAGGTGCTGGTGCTGGATCCTGGAATTGTGTTCTTACCCAGTGATGCACTCATTTTAGTGGGTAACAGAAAATAAATAAGCAAAAAACCAAAGGATGAAATAATTATAAATTGAAAGACATGCTGTGACAACAATAAACACATTTTGGTAAACAAAAATGATAGAGGGATAGACAAGAGAGTTTCTCCTAGAAGATGCTATCTACTGACATTAGCAAATGAGGAGTAGCTGTGGAGCTACAGAGCAAGAGTGCGCATGAAAATCAAAGAAAGATCAATAAAGTAAAGTAAAGGGACCAGAGGGAGGGAAGAGGGGAAATACTGGGGAATTATATTAACCAAATTATATTGCTACATTGTGGGCAGGTATGTAACAACAAATCCCACCATTACGTACAACTCTAAGGCACCAATAAAAAATTATATATATATATATATATATAATTATATGAAAAAATATATATATATGAAAAAAAGAGTGAATGTGTCTGGGCAGAGAGGAGCAGGAAAGTCACTTCTTTGTGACAACCTGGCAGTTATATGGAAAGGAGGCTGGAATGTGTAGTGGGGTAAAAGGCAAGGAGGCAGGGGGAGAAGTTGAATGCATCGGTGAAGGACACAAGACTCAGTAAGTTCACAAGACTATTTTATAAAAAGTACAGACTCCATCCAAAGGGCAGTGAGAAGCCATGGAAAAGGCTTTAAACAGAGATCCTGAACAGACTTTAAAAAGATCACTCTGGTTTTAGAAAAGAAAATACATTATAAATTTCTACTACCATTACAGAGCGTCAGCCAATTAGTACCAGCCCCCTTATTGAAGGCAACTGAAAAATTTGGATGAGATATTTTTTAAAAATCTAAAGAGCATCAAAGAGCTAAAAGGTATAAGGGAACGTCTGATCCTAAATCTAGAAGAAGGTAAGAATTCAGATATGTAAGCCCAGCAGGGAAAGCCCTTTCTGAACTGAAGGTATTTGTGATAAGAAGCTCGGGTCTTGAAAGGCACATGAATTGAGATCAAAAGCCAACCAAAGCCCTGAAATGGAATATTTGATTTATTCTTCTGTTTGTCACCTCTCCCCAAAACGTCACATACATTCATTTTACCTGGGATCCCAGAGGGTTACAACGTTAATTCAGAACAGACAAGCTTGCTGATAGAGTTGAAGCTAGTGCTTCTGCCATTTATGTGTTTCAGGGAAATTAAAGCCTTATATGTGGATTATGATAAGTATTCATAAGTATTGCCTCTAGATACCTTGCAGAAATAGTAAAAACATCTTCTCTGCAATAAGATATCATCATCCTAATTCTTAATTTTTCCTGTATATAATTTTCTGAATAGTGACCAGCACACATTCAAAGATCATAATGCAAACAGGAAAATATAACATTATAAGAGTGAACCATCGGAAATAATAGGCAATGATGAAACAGACCATTGATGATTTTAGTTTCCAGGCAGGGAGCAAGAGATCAGAATGTCTACTATGTTTAAAAAGTAAGAGACAACCCTGAAATAGACATAAAAGTAAATTTTAAAACCATAAAAGTAACATAGCAGATGTGAAAAATATACATTCCTATTTTTTCTTCTAACATATTTTAAAATTTTATATACCTTTTCACCTTAAATAATAGATCTGGTTCAGTAACAGATGAAAATGGAAACATAGAATATAGGTCTGAAGAAAGAATTAGGAACTCATTGAAGAAAGATAAAAAAGAGGGAAAATGCAGACAGAAGAGGATAAAAATCTAATATATATCTTATCACTATTCTAGAAGGAGAGGATAAGAATAAAGCATTGAACATGATTTTTGGAGAAACATGGATGAGGATTTTCCAGAACTGGTGAAGAAAACATTACACAGATTTACAAAGTTCAGTGACCCTTAAGCAATATGAATAGAGACAAATCGATCCCTGGACATATCATAGTCAAAATACATAAAAGCAAGAAAAGATAAAACCTTAAAAGAGAAATGGTAAGTAGACTGAATTACCAATGACAGGAATGAAAGTCAGAAGGTACTAGAAGGAAATTTGCAACATGCGGAAAAGAAAACAACTTCCAACCTAGAAGGTCTGTACTGAAGAAAATATTCTTCCAGAATGAAAGTGAGATAAAGAATTTTTGGAAAAAACAAAAATTGAGAGTGCTTACCACGAGATGACGGTAAAATTCCAAAGGAGGAATTTAAGACAAAAAAGAATGCCAGATGTAGACACAGAAGTAAAAATATAAGTCAACAAAGACTTTGTAATAATAATAATGATAGTGTCTTATGTGCTTAAAATATAGAATATTAAAATATACAACAGTAAGAGCAGAAAAGTTAGGAAAGGAGTAAAATAATTTGCATTCAGACAATGGAATATGAAACCAAACCATGAAAACATATGAAAACGGAAAAAAGTTTATCTTAAAAGGTTGCACAATGTATAATTCCAACCATGTGATATTCTAGAAAAAGGGGAAACTGTCAAGATAAGTGGTGAGAGGGGTTTGGGGTGGGGGTGGGGAGGGATGGATAGGCAGAATGCCAAGAAGTTTAGGGCAGTGAACTGCTGCTCAGCATGATGAATGGTGAATAATGTCATTGTATGTTTGTCCAAACCCATAGTACTTTAACACCAACAGTGAACCCTAATGTTAAATGAAGATATGGGGGATAGTGCTGTGCCACACTACACTCAGGTGACAGCAAATTTAATCCTCTATGGAGCCATATTGTTAATAGGGGAGGGTAAGTTGGGGAGAGGCAGGAAGTATATAGGAACTCTGTGCTTCCCACACGATTTCACTGTGAACCCAAACCTGCTCTAAAAAATAAGGTGCATTTAACAAAAATTCAATGGAAACAAAAAAACTACATGAAAATTACCTTCTTATCCTTGTAAAATTATTAATATTGACAAGGGTTTTCTAATGTACTTCAAAATACTATTAATAGTGTCTGTGTTTTTAATAAATACAATATTAAAATGCATAATAGTAATAGTAGACAGAGAGCAGTAAAATAATTTAAGGGTTCTGTCCAGAGGAGGTAATATTAGATTCTGAAAAAGTGCATATTTGTAATTTCTAGTGTGATCATTTAAAGAATAGAAACAGAGTACATATATAACTTTCACACTAATATAAGGGAAAAGTGAAATTTTAAAAATCAATTCTAAAGACAACATAAGAGAATAGAAAAAGAAGCAGAGAATAAACAGGGTGTACAGAAATAAGATGGAAGATTTAAATTTAAAGATATCAGTAATTACATTAAGGATAATGTTCCATTCCAAAGAAAATGAGATTAGGTTTCTTTCAATTTAACAACATGATGTTTGCAAGAGATAAATTTAGACCACAATATTATACAAAGTGGTAATAAAATGATTTTTTTAAAAAAGGCATACCATGCCAATGCTAGCTAGAAGAAAGGTGAGATAACTGTGGTAACACTGATTAACAAAGCAGTCATATAATGAAAAAGGGTTCAATTCACTGGAAATATATAATAATTCTAAATTTTGTAAAACAAGGCAAAATTTGACAGCATTATAGGAAAAACGAGTCCGAAATTTTTCAGTTATTGACAGAAAAAGCAAGCAGAAAAATTTACCAATGATGTAGAAGAACTGAAAATCAGAGCAAACAAATTTGATCTAAAAGACATAGGTAGAACACTCTACCCACTGCAAAATATACATTATTTCCCAGCATCTATAGTGCATTTACAATGAACTTGGTGGTCATGCTAGTGCTAATTCTGTAGGAATAAAATTACATGGAGTGTAACCTCTACCCATGTGCAATTGTGCTAGAAAGCAACAATAAAAAAGATAAATAGAAAAGTTCATATAATTTGAATTAAAACATATACTTGTAACTACTTAATAGATCAAAAAAGAAATAATAATGGGAATTTTAAAATAGTCATGGTTCTCTGGGAAACATTACTCTGCCAGATGGCAAAGCTTATTTTAAGAGACAAACATTAATGTTGTGTGGTACTGATTCAGAAATGGACCAATAATCTAATGACACAGAGTAACAAGCCCAGAACACAATCCACGAGTGTTAGGAAGAGAACAGCCTTCTTAATAACAAGCTGAGATAACTGGCTATCCATAGAAAAAAAATTAATCAGACCCCTACCTACTCAAAATTTATTTTCAAATCATTTAACTATAAAAATAAGATAATCTCTTTACAATCACAAAGGATAGAAGGACTTCCTAATTATAGTACAAAAAGTATTAGTCATATAGGTAAAGATTCAGTATATTTGAACTTATTAGTGTGAATAAATTTCTGTTCATCAAAAGGACACAATAGGGTGCTTGCTTGGGCAGCACATACACTAAAAGTAGAACAATACAGAGAAGATTAGCATGATCCCTGTGCAAGGATAACACACAAATTTGTGAAGCATTCCATATTTTTTATAAAGACACAAATGGGTGTAAATATACTTTGTGTACAACCAGAGACATGAAAAATTATGTTCTATATATGTAATAAGAATTGTAACGCATTCCGCCGTCATATATATATATATATAAATAATAATAAAAAGTAAAAATAAATAAAATGCCTGTATTTTCTATTTAAGAAAAAGGACATAATAGGGGGCTGGGAATATAGCACAGTGGTAGAGTGCTTGCCTGCCATATGAGAGGCCCTGGGTTCAATCCTAGCACCACACATTCTCTCTCTCTCTCTCTCTCTCTCTCTCACACACACACACACACACACACACAGGGAAAAGACACCACATAAAGAGGAAAAGGAAAACCCACAGAGAAAGAAAAGATATTCATAATACATGAAACCAACAAAAACTAGTAACCAGAATATACAAAGGAATAAATAGTAGACAAAAATTGAATTTTTGTAAGTAGGCAACATGTTTTTAATTTTTATTTTTCCCACATCTTTTTTGGCACATTATAGTTATACATACTGATGGGTTTTTTTTGTTACATATTCCTACATGCACACAACACACAATATATCAATATAATTTGACCAATATTCCCCAACACTTCCCCTCTTCTTCCTCACCTCCCACCCCTGAGTCCCTTTTCTCTACTGATCTTCCTGTGATTTTCATGAGATCCCCACCACTCACTTTTATTTTCTTTTTTCCTCTCTAGCTTCCACACATGAATGTAAACATATGATTCCTAATCTTCCAAAAATTGAATTTTACAGTTAGCTTAAAACCTGGATGGTTTCTAAAAGTATAAATTTAATTGATCAATAGTCTATGAAAAAGGTGTCTATCTTATTAGTAATCATAAAATGCAAATTAAACCACAATGACATGCTATTATTATACATGACCAGATAGGTAAAATTTGAAATTGGCAATTTCAAGTGTCAATAAATAATCAGAGCAAAAAAAAAAATCTCAAAAATCTGGTAGGAGAATGAATTGGTACAAACACTTTGGAAAGTTTGCTCTTATTTTTTATAGTTAAAGATAAGCATACCCAGTAATATGCTCTTGAGAAACAGTAGAATATATAAATATGAATGTTCATTTTCACATGGTAATTGCTGAAAATTGAGAACCCTAAATTCAACAGTGGATGGATAAATTGTGAAATATTCACACAACAGAATATTCTACAGCAATGAAAATAAAAGAACTACACATCCACGCCTAATCCCAGTCACTCAGGAGGTTGAGGAAAGAGAATCTCAAGTTTGAGGCCAGCCTCCACAATGTAGCATGACACTGCCTCAGGATAAAAAAATAAAAAGGCTGAGGATGTAGATCAGTGGTAGAGCACCCGTGGGTTCAATCTCCAGCACCACAAAAAATAACCAAAACCAAAACTATAATAATACAAATGACCTTATGAAGACAAGGCTAAGAAAAAGAAAATATAAATAAAAACATAGTGTATGATAACATTATATATAGTTTTTTTGAAACCAGAAAAATCAGGCACACTATATTCTTCAGACAAACACACAGAGGGTAAGAATATAAAGAAAATGAAGGAAGTGATTTCCTAAGAAGGTAATGGGAACCCTTTAGGGAAAAGGGAGGGAGAAATTATCTGGAAAAGGTCAAGATGTTGGCAATATTCTATTTCTTGATCTGGTTTCTTGTTATGTAAGTGTTGGTTTTTTACAATGGCTATTATACTTTACATTTTGATGTTATATGCACTTTTTGGTCTGTTATTTCTTAATTTATAATGGTTTAACAAGAAAGAAGGAAACTGATTAGAAAAAGGGCAAGAATGAAAGATGTACCAGTTGGCAAACTACTGTGGTTGTTTGCATAAATACAAGGTGATGATGGCTTGGATTACGATGGTGGTACAGAAGTAATGAAAAGATATGAATTCAAGATAAGTCAGAATGGAAAAGACTGGATTTCGGCGGCGAGAAAAAGGGGAATCACAGGTGGCTTCTGTTTCAGGCCTGAGGATACTGGAGGAAGGGGTGGGGAGAAAAGGTTAGGAGTAATGATTGGGATATGGAATTGTGTGTCTTGTTCTAGGCATTAAGTTTAAGATGCCCGTGAAAGATTTATCTAGAGGTATCATTTATGTTGTTTAATATAGGCATGGCATAAACGAAGGATTTAATAGCATCTCTATGCTATTTTAAAACATTAAGACTGGATATGATCACCTGAACACAGTGTAGAAACAGAGGCAGGCTCAGGACTAGCTCTGATTAAATGCACCTACATAACATAACAGAAAAATTTAAAAAAAAAAGAGAGAGAGACGTTATGAGATAGCAGGAAAACAGACGTGGGTCCCAAAATCTCCAAGATGAAAGTGAAGGAGGAGGGAGCCATCAACCAACTATATCAGTATGGAGAGGTGGAAGAAAATGGGAACAAAGAGATATCCTTGGGATTTAGCAACGTGGAGATCATTGGTAATCTTAGGCAGTGTAGTTTCAGAAGTGAAGGCAGGAAACTGAATTAAATAGGTTGAAGTTTAACAGGAATTGAGCAAGTAGCCCACTGTGGTGGCACAAGCTTAGAATCTCAGCTACTCAGAAGGCTGAGGCAGGAGGATGCAAGTTAGAGGCCAGCTTGGGCAATTTGAGACCACTTGTCTCAAAACAAAAAGGTGCTGTAGATGCCATGGTGCATGCCTGTAATCCCAGCAACTTGGGAAACAAAGGCAGGAGGGTTGAAAATTCAGAGTAAGACCCTAAGTGACTTAGTAAGACTGTGTCTCAAAATTTTAAGTTTTTTAAGAGGGCTCAGTGATTAAGCACCTTGGATTCAATCCCAGATACCAAAAAACAAAAAGCAAAACAAACAAATCTGGGGATGATATCCAGTGGTAGAGCTCCTGCCTAGCATGCATGAAGGCCTGGGTTCAGTCCCCAATAGCAACAAAACTAAACAAAACAAACGAACAACAACATGACAACAACAAAAAACAGGAAATAAAGGCAGTGTGTATAAATAAATCTTTTGCATTTAGATTATAAAATATAATACAGAAATGAGGCAGTGTGGGCAAAGTAGAGACAAGGGGCCTTAGTCAAGGAGACTGAGGACAATGATGTCAGTGAATGGCTGTTTGATAATGGCAGAGAAAGTAAACCAAAGGCAACATCACACATTCAAATTCTCTGAGGGTCTGTACTGCTGGTTCGTAGTTCACTGATTCCCCAAATTTCTAATCCTGAAAGTAAGTTTCTATTAAGCAAGCTGTCTCTTATTAAGCAAAACTGATTATTTTAAGTTAAGCAAGTTGATTTTCATTTAACCATAACAAGGAAACTCCTAGGGTTACGCTGAAAGGAAACTTCAAGTGTCTGCTATCCTCGTAGAAGAAAGAAATACTAAAGATAGACATAAAAAAATATATTCATGAATTATGAATTGTATAAATTGTCCATTGTGATATTTAACATCTGTTCGTTAAATTCTTTATTGCTCATACCCTGCTTTCAACAGAGACATTAAATTATCAAGAACTTTGAAAACATACAATAATATATAGTAAATATTTAAAGCACCCATTAGCAAATCAAAGGAGAAGGAAACATGTTATACAAAACATTACCTTTAACTTACTTTCTTTTTTTTAATATCTATTTTTTTAGTTTTAGGTGGACACAATATCTTTATTTTATTTTTATGTGGTGCTGAGGATTGAACCCAGTGCCTCACACATGCTAGAAGAGCACTCTACCACTTGAGCCACAGCCCCAGCCCTTGACTTACTTTCTTGATTTTTTATGTTTGTTGGAACAGATTGTGATCTTAAATTTAACTTTTCAAAATCACTCTTTCTGGGTTCAGGTTCAATTTTGAAATAGACACATCTGGAAGACATAAAAAACAAATCTAAATTAAAAGAATCAGAAAATTTATAAAACAAATCTAAAAAACAAGTTTTGAGAAATATGTGAAGTTCCAGTTATATAAATTTAGATATTACACTAATACTATTATAATAAAAAGTAGAAAAGATTGAGCAGGAGCTGAAAATACTACTGTTAATCATTTGAAACAGAGGGGACAAGAACCCCACTGTTGTGATAGGGTTAAGGGCAGTCCAAGGACACTCACTCTCCACAAGCTAACTAACCTTTTCAGAAAACTATGCTGCAAATTAGTCCCATGAGAAATTGGGGGCATTGCAGACCTGAATTAAAGTGGTGGGACACAGAGTTAGGGACAGTCCACATACCAGAATGGTCAATCAGATAGGATCACAGCATTTATGTACTGTAGACAGAATGTCCCTCCTCTAAATTTAACTGGTCTGTTCCTTTAAAATTTTGTATTTTATTTTAAGTGCTTATTCAATGTCACTGGAAAATACTTCTACGATTGTGCGGTACTCTAGTGAGAATGGGCATATCCTGACTCTAACTGAAATGGGAATGGGTCAAGTGTCCCACCCTGAGAATGATGCTGGCTCTACAGATGTCTCTCAACTTACGAGAGGGTTATGTCCTAATAAATCCATAGTGAAATGAAAATACTGTAAGTAAAAAATGCATTCACGGCCTTGGTGATGGGTAGAAGCTGGAAGAATTTCAAAATGCATGCTGGAAAACAGCTGATGTTGCCATGAAGGGTCTCACCCTTTTTAACTGAGGTGCTGACAGCACTGTATCCCACCTGTCCATGCACTCTAAGAGGTCTGTGGTGGGAGTGGCAGACTTGGTGCTTTTCTGAATTGCTTCTGGGCCCTTCTTCTCTTGCTTGAAGAATAGAGTATGTTTTACTCATGTTTATAGCAGCACAATTCACAATAGCCAAACTATGAAACTAGCCTAGGTGTCCATCAATGAATAAATGGATAAAGAAAGCGTGATGTGTACAAACAATGGAGTTTTATTCAGCCATAAATAAAAATGAAATTAGAGCATTTTCAGGAAAATGGATGAAACTTGAGACCATTATGTTAAGGGAAATAAGTGAAACTCATATGTTTTCTCTCACATGTGGAAACTATAGAGAAAAAAGGAAAATGAGAGTAGGTGTGGATCTCCTAAATATCAAAGGGAAATCAGTAGAGGAAAGAGATCAAGGGATGGGAGGTGAGGGAAGTGCTGGGGAGTGATACTGACTAAATTATATTGTTATGTTGTGTGCATGTATGAATATGCAACAACAAATCCCATCAATATGTACAATTATAATGCACCAATAAAAAAATTGGAAAAAAAAAAGAATAGTGCATGTTTGCAGCTGAGTATCTATACAGATGTCTCTCAACTTACGAGAGAGTTATGTCATAGTATCTATGTTCCAAACAGCTCTACAGTCTGGCCCTAGAGGGTCTGGGAATTTTAACAGTCATTAAAAAAATTTTAAAAAACAGTCAAAATTTTTTATTTTTTTCCCCATTTTCTCTGTTTTCTTTTGTCACAGCTGATAGTTTTTTTCTGCTTTATAATTTCATCTTTACTCTTGACTTCTGTTGAAATCTAATTAGGTCCATGTTTGTTCATAACCACATTCATCTTATTATCCAATGGTCAGTCTACCACAAACTAAGTGTTCTCTTCTAAATGTGCTTTTTCACATTTGGAACATGGGCAAATTGAAACTTTTCCAAATATTTAAGTTATTATTCCTTTTTGCTTAATTCTATCTTCAATTCATTATCTCTTCTTGTGTTTTACTGTATGGGTCAAGAGAACCAACCCCACTTAAAAATTTCTCCATCTAAATACACAATTTTATTGTTCACAAGCTCTACATGCCACAAAATACTAGAACACACACAATTCAGCCAAGTTCTCTGCCACTATTTGTAACAAGCACCACCATATAATTTCAAAAGTTGAAAGTAATTTACTGTTTTTTTTTCTCTTTTCACATGTGGTTTGCTGTTTTCTTGCCTTAAAAATGAAAATGAAATATATTACTAATTTTATTTCCTTTCCTTTGTAATCAGTTTTTTCTGCTCTTAGAATTAAGTGATTTTTATCATAACTTTAGCATCTTGGTGACCCTTTTGATCTGAAAATTCAACTCTGTCTTTAAAAGAAGAGCATTTTTTTCCCCTAATATTTCTTGGATCATTCCTTAACCATCTATTTTTCTCTCTTCTGATTTGTGTATACAGTATATACACATTTACATATTGAGTACACTGAAACTGTGATACATGTCTCTTTTCAATTGATAAGGTATTTTTTTGCAAGATTCTGCCTTGATTTAATCTTCTAAAGTACCTATCCACTTTTCATTTGCATTTTATTTTCAATTTCCCCATTTAGTTTGTGATAAAGGTTTATTTTTTAATCTCCTTTTTCTCTCTGATGATTTGTCCTTAAGACACATATTTTCTAAAGCTTTCTTCTGTTCTTCCCATTAAATTTGCTTCATGAGGAGTCACCTGTTCTAAATGTTTGGTTCCATCTCCCTCCTTCAAATGAGTCTCCTTAAATGACTTGGTGATTTCTCTTTGGCCACTCTTTCCTGTGAGGGTGGATTCCTCTGACACCTCTGAAGCTCCAGTTATTTGGGACTCTAATTGGGCAGTAAGATATAAGAGCCTCATGTAATGAATCACTGGCCACACAGGTGTCATCTAGGATCTCTTGATGAAGAAAATGAGAAATGAAGAAGTCTACAGCAATGGTTCTCAAACCACTAGCTGTATATTAGAATTACCCAGAGGGCTTTGAAAAACACACAGACTAACAGTTCATGATCTCAGGGGTTGGGGGACTGGGCACATTTTTAAAAAGCTCTCAAGTGATTCTAATGAGCAGCTACTATGAGAAGCCCTGCCCTAGACTCCCCAGTTTCTTCACTGTATGGGCTAATGGGAATCCTCTTCCAGCTCCTCAGAGAAGAGAACACGTTCAATGGGTACTGAAACTCTCTCTAAAGAGAGTTGGAGGAGGTAAAGCCCTTCACTTCCCAGAATCCTTGAGGCTTAAAGGAACCTGTACCCATGTAACTGAGGAACTCTGTTGGTCATAGCAAGTTAGGCATAAATCTCTCACATAAGTGCTCCACTTTTTTTTCACACTTCCTGTTCCCACCCTATTCCATTTAACTATTAAATCACATGTTATCAAAGATATTAAAATTTTTTGCCTTAATTATCAAGAATATAAGCGATAATAAGTATTGGCAAGGATGTGGGGGAAAAGGCACACTCGTACATTGTTGGTGGGACTGCAGATTGGTGCAACTACTCTGGAAGGCAGTATGGAGATTGCTCAGAAAACCTGGAATGGAACCACCATTTGACCCTACTCCTGGGTTTATACCCAATGTATTTAAAGTCAGGATACTACAGTGACACAGACACATCAATGTTTATAGCAGCTCAATTCACAATACCTAAACTATGGAACCAACCTAGATGCCCTTCATAGATGAATGGATAAAGAAAATGGGGTACATATACACAATGAATATTATTCAGCCTTAAAGAAAAATGAAATTGAAATTTACAGGTAAATGGACGGAACTAGAGAATATCATGCTAAGTGAAATAAGCCAATGCCCCCAAACCCAAAGCCGAATGTTTTCTCTGATAAGTGGATGCTGATCTATGGGGGGGGGGCGGGGTAGGGAAGAATGAAGGAACTTTGGATTGTGAAAAGGGGAAAGGGTGGGGCTGTGGGGATTGGAAGGACGGTAGAATGAGACAGAGTTTATTATCCTATACACATGTATGATTACACTACTGGTGTGACTCTGCACCATGAACAGCCAGAAGAATGACAAGTTATGCTCCATTTGTGTACAATATGTCAAAATGCATTTGGCTGTCACGTATAACTAATTAGTATAAATTAAAAAACAAAAATAGAAAAAAAAATCCTAATCTGCTCCCCAATTTTCCCTTCAATAAAGTTAGGACCTAAAAGGAGTTTTATCAAAAAGCAAAAGAAATTTTTATGTTTTTCATAATTCAAAAATATTAATTTCTTCAGAAATACTCAAATATTATAACAAAAGCATAAAATATTAAAAAAAGAAAAGTTTGCCTCTTGTAAACATGGCTTAAGTGTATTTCCTTACTGTCTTATTTTTAAAGATTAGTATGTATGATTGTATATTGGAAAAACTAAGTTTTAATTTTATTGTTGTGCTATTTTTTTTGTGCCTACCATGTGTAGGCAATAAATTTTAAATTTTTCACATACATTAACATATTTAATTCTCATGAAGTCCCTATGGAATTTATGTTATTACTATCCCCTCCTGTAAAATAGGAAAGTGAAGCATAGAGAAGTTATATAACTTGCCCTGCATCGTAAAGCTAATAGAAAGCAAAGCTAGTATACAAACCTGACGACGAGTCTGTAAACTTCACCATCTTAATCTTTATACCAGGTTAATATCACTCAGATTACATGATGTCTATTGAATTAGGAGAACAATTTGGCTCATTAAAGTTCACTAATGGGCTGGGGGTAAAGCACAGTAGTAGACTGCCTTCCTAGCATGTGTGAGGCCCTTGGTTGGATTCCCAGTAGCACAAGGGGAAAACAAAAATCTACATAGACTGCAATTGTATCCTCAATTCATGTTTTGTTGTTGTTTTCAACATTTTTTTAATTATCTATGGACCTCCATTTTCCTCACTTATTTATATGTAGTGCTGAGAATCAAATCCAGCACCCCACATGTGTGAAGCAAGCACTTTACCACTGAGCCACAACCCCAGCCCTTATATGTTTTTTTAAAATATTTTTTTAGATATTGATGGACCTTATTTTATTCATTTATTTATATGTGGTGCTGAGAATCGAACCTAGTGCCTCACACATGCTAGGCAAGTGCTCTACCACTGAGCCACAACTCCAGCCCCCTTTATTCATATTTAATTATTTTTTCCATACATGAGTTTCTCTTCTTGTTAAAAAAAATGAATTCACACAACAAAACCATATATACTGTGTGTATACACACATGACTTTTGTCCTTCCCTAGTTCCCTACTTCCATTCTATGAATTTTTTTCTGTGAATTATTAAAATATCACATCTTAATAGGGACAGTTCTATAAATGATTTTGAAGTAAAGTTATTGGCTTATCTACCTAAAACAAAGTAGTAATGTAAAACATTTGTGATAAAATTAAATTATGTAAACCATTGTCATTAACTTGTGCGAGGAACAAACTGCTTTCTTCTAACTTACTGCTTCACAATGGGGACATGTTTTATTATTCTAGTAAATCACAAATTAAAAATATCTGAATGAGCTGTATTTTGTGTTGTTATCAGAATGCTTACAAGTAAAACAATAAGTAATAGTTATAGTTCTCCATATCATGTTTTATGATAGACTGGGAGTTGTTTGTCCAACTTTCTTCCAGATACCTTCACCTGAATTCCCCACAGGCATCTTAAAACTTAACAAATCCAAAATAAAATCCAGCTCTTCTCACCTTAATCCTCCTACTCACCCAAGATAGAGCTGCTTCTATCCACATATTCTCTACAAAGCACTATGATGCATGCACCTGGGCATCAAGCCCAGGTTTGAGGTCATCCTATTGAATTAGATGGTGATAAAGAGAATGGGCTCTGAAATCAGACTACTAGGCTTTAAATCCTTCCCCTTGCTAGTTGTGTGACATTGGAAGTTATTTAACCTAACACATGGATTTTTTATCTGTAAAACTGTAATTCCCACATTGGATTGTGACATAAAATAAATGAGATAAGAACAGTATCAACACTACCACCAATATCCAGTTGACCTGGTTTGATTCTATTTCTTTATACTTCTTTTCAGGCTCTCTACATTTCTGATGCTTGGAAAAATTACAGAGCATTACACATGTACATATGCTAGCGAAAGACCAGGTATGACATGATTAGGCTATCCATTGTTAAGTACACAAAGAAACTGCCTTATTTAGTTTTCTAGGCAGGCATTTTCTTGTAATATATTAATTAAAGTTTAAAATAAATCCTGACATTAATTTGGAGAAATGTCACTGACTAACTTTCTTTAAAAATTCAGAATTGTGTCTGGGGATGTAGTTCAGTGGTAGGGTTTGCCTAGTATGTGAGAAGTACTGGGTTCCATTCCAAGCACTGTGGAAAAAAAAAGTATTTAAAAAAATAAATAAAACCAAAAATTCATAATTGAAATTACCATCTATGCTAGTGAAATATCATACAAATATTTTATAAGCTGGGAATCTTCAAATAGTAATCTAGTATATCTTAACTCATAATTATTATAAAATATATCATATGACAAAGTTTTCATGTTATATACATTGCATAATTTAATACAAATATAAAGCAATGCTTCCAACCTTCAAACTGAAAGTTTGAGGTCGTTATGATAGTTACTTTTTTGATTTTTTAACGTCACGTGACTTATCTTCCATGGTCTTTGATGCTGTCCTCGATGCGGATTGAAGGGTAGCACTACCCTCTTCAAATTCTGAATGATAATCAAATGTCAGGGGTAAAGTATTTTCTGTTCCTATATA